CCCTCCCCCCCCTCGTAATCCGGGGGGGCGGTGCAGACAGTGGTGGGGACGGTGGTGGTGGGGACAGTGGTGAGGGGACAGCGGGACAATGGTGGGGACAGTGGGACAGTGGTGGAGACGGTAATGGTGGGGACAGTAGTGAAGGCGGTGGTGAGGACAGTGGTGGGACAGTGGCACAGTGGGGAACGTGGTGGGGACAGTGGGGACAGTGGGACAGTGATGGGGACAGTGGGGACGCTGGGACAGCACAGTGGGACAGCGGCGGGGACAGTGGGACAGTAGTGGGTACAGTGGGGACAGTGGGACAGTGGTGGGGACCGTGGGGAAAGTGGGGAGAGTGGGACCGTGGTGGGACAATGGTGGGGAGAGTGGGGACATTGACACACTGGTGGCACTGGTGGGAACAGCGGGGACAATGGTGGGAACAGTGGGGACAGTGGGACAGTGGTGGGGACGGTGGTGGTGGGGACAGTGGTGTGGGGACAGTGGGAATGTGGTGGAAACAGTGGTACATTGGAGGGTACAGTGGTGGTGGGGACAGTGGTGAGGGCGGTGGCGAGGACGGCGGTGGGACAATGGGACAGAGGTACAGTGGGGACAGGGGTGGGGACAGTGGGGACAGTGTTGGGAACAGTGGGACAGCTCAGTGGGACAGCGGAGGAGACAGTGGGACAGTGGGGACAGTGGGGACAGTCGGGCAGTGGTTGGGGCCGTGGAGAAAGTGGGGAGAGTGGAACCGTGGTGGGAACAGTGGTGGGGACAGTGGGGACAGTGCGACAGTGGTGGGGGCACTGGTGGGGACAGTAGGGACGGTGGTGGAACCAGTGGGGACAGTGGTGGTGAGGACAGTGGTGCTGGGAACAACAGTGGGGGATGTGGTGCGGACGGTGGTAGGGACCGGGAGTCGTTTGCTGGCGGTGCGTGGGGTGGGGAGGGGTTCGAACCGGTAGTGACCCCCCCCGGTTTTCGAGGGAGGGGGGGGGGAGGGGTTCAAACCGGTAGTGACCCCCCCCGGTTTTCGAGGGGGAGGGGGGGGGGTTCGAACCGGTAGTGACCCCCCCCGGTTTTTTGAAGGGGGGAGGGAGGGTTCGAACCGGTAGTGACCTTCCTCTGGTTTTCTGGGGGGGGGGAGGGGTTCGAACCTGTAGTGACCCCCCCGCGGTTTTCCAGGGGGGGGGGGTTGAACCTGTAGTGACCCGAGAGGGGGGGGGGGGGGTTAGGGGAGGGGGGGTTTTGCCAGGGGAAGGCGGGTGGGGGTCCAGCAGGGGGGGGGATTTTCGGAGGTGGGGGGGGGATACCCGGGTTCCGGAGGAAGAGGGGGGGAATTTTCCACAGTAAAGCGGCGGTGGATCACGCTCTCTCATATGGCTGGACGACTGTGATGACGATTTATGGTTAAGATGTAGTTGTTGCTAGTGTAATAGATGATGTTGGTGATGCTGCCGATGATGATGCTGATGCTGATGCTGCTGTTGATGATGATGCTGATGATGATGATGGTGATGACGATGATTGTGGTGGTGGTGGTGATGATGATGATGACGACGATGATGATGACGATGATGATGATGATGATGATGATGATGATGATGATGATGATGATGATGATGATGATGATGATGATGATGATGATGATGATGATGATGATGATGATGATGATGATGATGATGATGATGATGATGATGATGATGATGATGATGATGATGATGATGATGATGATGGTGGTGGTGATGATGATGATGATGATGGGTGATGATGATGCTGATGATGAGGATGATGTTGATGATGATGATGGCTTCGATCAGACGATGGATCCGACGGAGAGGATCAGAGGCAGCACGATACGCAGGAAGAAGAGTACGAGGAGGAGCACGATTCTGATGTGGGGGCAGAAGGCCGAACAAATAATAATTAGCCTGACGAAAGACCCAACCATACGTAGTTGTGAATACCGCAATTGTGGATATATTCTTCGGTGGCGCCCCCGGGCCACGAAACGTGTGAGGGGTGTGCCGAAATGGGGGGGCGGAACCGCATGCGAGCGCAGCCACTGGGGCGCTCGGTGGAGCTCCCTATGGAGCCACGAAGCGTGTGAGGGGTGTGCCAGGATGGTGGGTGGAACCGCATGCGGGCGCAGCCACTGGGGCCTTCGGTGGAGCTCCCTATGGGGCCACGAAACGTGTGAGGGGTGTGCCAGAATGGGGGGTGGAACCGCATGCGGGCGCAGCCACTGGGGCCTTCGGTGGAGCTCCCTATGGGGCCACGAAACGTGTGAGGGGGGTGCCAGAATGGGGGGTGGAACCGCATGCGGGCGCAGCCACTGGGGCCTTCGGTGGAGCTCCCTATGGGGCCACGAAACGTGTGAGGGGTGTGCCAGAATGGGGGGTGGAACCGCATGCGGGCGCAGCCACTGGGGCCTTCGGTGGAGCTCCCTATGGGGCCACGAAACGTGTGAGGGGTGTGCCAGAAGGGGGGGTGGAACCGCATGCGGGCGCAGCCACTGGGGCCTTCGGTGGAGCTCCCTATGGGGCCACGAAACGTGTGAGGGGTGTGCCAGAATGGGGGGTGGAACCGCATGCGGGCGCAGCCACTGGGGCCTTCGGTGGAGCTCCCTATGGGGCCACGAAACGTGTGAGGGGTGTGCCAGAATGGGGGGTGGAACCGCATGCGGGCGCAGCCACTGGGGCCTTCGGTGGAGCTCCCTATGGGGCCACGAAACGTGTGAGGGGTGTGCCAAATTGGGGGTGGCCGCATGCGGGCGCAGCCACTGGGGCCTTCGGTGGAGCTCCCTATGGGGCCACGAAACGTGTGAGGGGTGTGCCAGAATGTGGGTGGAACCGCATGCGGGCGCAGCCATGGGGCTTCGGTGGAGCTCCGAGGCCACGAAGCGTGTGAGGGGGTGTGCCAGAATGGGGGGTGGAACCGCATGCGGGCGCAGCCACTGGGGCCTTCGGTGGAGCTCCCTATGGGGCCACGAAACGTGTGAGGGGTGTGCCAGAATGGGGGGTGGAACCGCATGCGGGCGCAGCCACTGGGGCCTTCGGTGGAGCTCCCTATGGGGCCACGAAACGTGTGAGGGGTGTGCCAGAATGGGGGTGGAACCGCATGCGGGCGCAGCCACTGGGGCCTTCGGTGGAGCTCCCTATGGGCCACGAAACGTGTGAGGGGTGTGCCAGAATGGGGGGTGGAACCGCATGCGGGCGCAGCCACTGGGGCCTTCGGTGGAGCTCCCTATGGGGCCACGAAACGTGTGAGGGGTGTGCCAGAATGGGGGGTGGAACCGCATGCGGGCGCAGCCACTGGGGCCTTCGGTGGAGCTCCCTATGGGGCCACGAAACGTGTGAGGGGTGTGCCAGAATGGTGGGTGGAACCGCATGCGGGCGCAGCCACTGGGGCCTTCGGTGGAGCTCCCTATGGGGCCACGAAACGTGTGAGGGGTGTGCCAGAAGGGAGGGGGAGGAGGGAGGAGGAAGGAGAGGAGGAGGAAGGAGGAAGGAGGAAGGAGGAAGAAGGAACGCGGGGACCGTCTCTTCAAAACGAGGACCCAACAACACAGGTTGGTTGGGAATGATGCGGAGGATTTGCAGGATGAGGAAGCATAGTGCTGGCCCATCTAGTTTCGATCGACCCGACTCGATCCGACTCGATTTTGGTTCTCGGCGTGCACGGCTCGGTTTGCATCCTGGCGCGGCCGATCTTTGGCTCCGTGCCGTTCATGCTGACCGACCTTGCGGCAGCAGGATCGGGTGGGGCTGGGACCGGGATCAATCGTTCTCAGAGCATGCCGCATTGCTCTGGAGCAACCACGACGCCCGCTACATCCTCCATTAGCGCCACATCTCAGAGATCCCTGAGTTGTCCCGTCCGATTTTGTCCCAGTCCTGGCTTCGCCTCACCTTCGGCAGCAGGAGCGGGATCGCCAGACTCGCCAGGCGTTGCGGCGGGTTTGCTTGCAGTTTTTTGTGCTTGATGTTCCGGGCATCCTCGCAAGCGGGAGCCGGTTGGCGGCCGCGTTGACACGACACGAGCCTACCGAGCCAGCCGTGTTCGGGGGCACAAGAAGATTCCGACCCGCTGCTCCCCAGACCTCTCCCAGGGTGCGTTCTGACCAGGACTTCGAGGCGAATCCAGCCGTGGCGACGAAGAGCCCTCAGGAGGCGCAACCAGAGGGAGAAGCATCCAGACACCTCGAACCCTGAAGTCCGAGCCTCGCGCGTCGATCCTCACAGAGGCCTCGAACCCTGAAGTTCGAGCCTCGAGAGCCGATCTCTGTGGCGAGGGCCGGCCCCGCGGCAGGACGTTGGTGGCCGGCTCCTCCCTGGGGGCAGGCGGTGGTCGGGCGCTGGTGCTGCCTGTCTCTCGCCTCCCCTCCCGCGGGTTGCCCGGAGCGGCCCCGGGCCCCGGGCCCCAGGGCGGCCCCCAGCCCTGCCAGGGAGGCGCGCAGGTGGCTTCCAGAGCACCCCCCCGCAGCAGGGCTCGTCTCGATTTCTCCGATCCGATTCGGTTCGATGCGGTTTCGATGGCTTCCGATTCCGATGCGATTCGACTTGGGATTCCGATCCGGGCTCCGATTTCTCAAAGGAGGCCCCCTGGCTGCCCGATTTCTGTCGATTCGACTTCTCCCGACTTGTGCGCCGATTTCCGCGGATCCGATCCATTTCGATCGCCGATCCGAATTGTCGATTCGATTCTGGGCTCTCCTGCCCCCACGGGGCCCAGAGGGCCCGAGAAGCTCCCAACTGGCGCGTACAGCTGCGGGCACTTTGGGCCAGGACCATCTCCGGCAACACCGGATCCTTCTCCTTCTCCTTCCCCGAGGAGGAGCAGGAGGAGGAGCAGGAGGAGGAGGAGGAGGAGGAGGAGGAAATCGACCAGAGAAATTTCGGCCACACTCGCAGGACAACCGCTCGCATGGATTGTGAAACCTCACTGCCATCGGTCTGTGGATGAAACGAGTTGCGCTGGAACCAGATGGCTCGCCAGGTGCTGTGTTCGGGGGGATGAGCGTGGAGACGGAGAAGCACTGCACGGTGCTCATATTCTACGAGAAGGGCGTGCCGCCGACCTCGGAAGAGATCGCCAAGAAGCTGGAGAGCAAGAAGGATAGCGTCAAGGCCGAGGCCCTCGAGGACGAAGCCCGCTCTGGGTGCCCCTACAGACGTCCGACGACTGCTGAATTTTCGTTTCTATGAAAGAACTGTTGTTGATCTCCCCCCTCCGGTGCACCTTGTGTTTTTTGCAATTGAAGTGCATCTCCCGGGGCTCGCATACTTTTTTACAAGGGCAAGTGCTGAGCCTCAGAATGCGTTGTTGCGCTGGACCCTACTGGCGGGCTCCGGCGCCGCCATCGGCGCGCTCACCGCGCTAGGGAGCGGGGTGCATTTCTGATCCAAAAAGTCTGCGCCGATCCAATAAGTCCAGGCCACCAACAATGTATATTTATCATGTTTCTTTGGTTTTTCTTCTACGAAGGGAACACGATGCCAACGCAGCCGCGCGGCGGGGGCACAAGGCAGAGACGATTCAAGAGCCGCGCCATGCAGCCAGCAGCACACGGCCCCTGCAAGCCAGAAGAGGGGACGTCTCGATTGCGAAGGCCTTGCGGCCGGTGCCGCCGACCCTGAGGACGGCGACGACGAGGACGACGAGGATGTTGAGGAGCAGGTGGCGGAGGACGCTAGGGAGCAGGAGGGGCGAGGAGGAGGAGGATGAGGAGGAGGTGCGAGGGGGGAGGAGGAGGGTGCACACATACTCTTGTCCGGGGTGGTTCCCCGGAAAGGCTGATGGTGGACATGGACGACGTCACGACGACGACGACCACGACGACGACGATGACGACTACGACGCTCACGACGACGATGGACGACCAACTTTTTTTGGGCAGCGCGTCAGTGGCCGAAAGAGGAAAAGGAGGGTCAGGAGAGGACCCCCCGGGACCCCCCGGGACCCCCCCCCCCGGGACCCCCCCCCGGCGGGGAAGGGATCAAAGGGAAGGGGCTTCCCTTCGACTCATCTACAACGTTGCTGAATTTCGCTGTGTCTGGCGCGCTCGAGGAGGAGAGGAGGAGGAGGAGGAGGAGGAGGAGGAGGAGGAGGAGGAGGAGAGGAGGAGGAGGAGGAGGAGGAGGAGGAGGAGGAGGAGGAGGGAGGAGGAGGAGGAGGGGGAGGAGGAGGAGGAGGAGGAGGAGGAGGAGGAGGAGGAGGGCCCGACGACGAGTCAAACAGAACAGCCTCTCTTCCACACTCGACCCGGCGGCCCCCCGAGCTTCTCGACCTCCTTAGTTTCCTTCTCGTTGGGTGAGGACAGCGGCGGCGACGAGGACGACGACAACGGCGAGGACGACCAGGGCGATGACGACGAGGGCGACGAGTGCGACGAGGGCGACGACGACGACGACGACGGGGCCGTGGGGCCCGACATGATCTGTCGTTGGCATGGTGCCCCCTGTCCCAGCGCAGTGGGAAGAGATGGGTGGAAGGGGCAGGATGTCAGCTATGGCGCGAGCGTGCCTAGTTTGCTTGTCTTTCTCTTCCTTCTGCGTCCGCCCCTCCTCTGTTTCGTCCTCCCCCTCACCACCATGCTTCGCCCATCCCTGTTCCTCCCTCTCTTCCTCCCCCCCTCTCTCGCGAACGAGGGCTGGGGGGGGTCTGGGGCAGGCGGGGCTTGGCGTCTTGGCCGGCGGGGCCTCGCCGTCGTTCCGCGGCGGTGGATCAGGAAGGCGGGGGGAGGGGGACGGAGGAGACGAAGATGATGATGGTGGTGGAGGTGATGATGATGGCGATGTTGCTGTTGATGCTGATGATGGTGGTGGTGATGGTGATGATGATGGTGATGGTGATGGTGATGGTGATGGTTGTCGTGGTCGTGGTGGTGCTGGTGGTGGTGGTGATGATGATGATGATGATGATAATGATGATGGTGATGACGACGACGAGAACGCGAGCGACGACGAGGACTATAACGACGACGACGATGACGAAGATGATAACGACGCGCGACGTTGACGACAACGATGACAGAGACAACGACGGTGACTACTAGGATTATGCTGCTGATGATGATGATGCTGATGTTGATGCTGATATTGTTGCTGCTGATGATGATGATGCTGCTGCTGATGATGATGATGATGATGAGGATGAGGATGAGGATCGTGACGAGGACGACGGCGACGATGCTGCTGCTGCTGCTGCCGCTTATGATGATGCTGCTGATGCTGATAATGCTGATGATTCTGGGGGTAACGACGATCTCCACGACAACGACGGTGTCTGTGATGATGCTGATGCTGCTGAGTCTGATGCTTATGATGACGATGCCGCTGATTGTGACGATGCTGATTGTGATGTTGATGTTAATGATTCTGATGGTGATGATGCTTATAATGATGATGCTGATGATGCTGAGTTTGCTGATGATGATGCTGATTCTGCTGATGATGCTGATGATGCTGATTCTGCTGATGATGCTGATGATGCTGTTGCTGGTGATGCTGATGATGTTGATGATGATGTTGATGATGCTGATGATGATGCTGGTGATGAAGATGCTTATGATGATGATGATGATCATGATGCTGATGCTGATTATGACGATGATGATGCTGCTGCTGCTGATGATGATGATGGTGACGACGATTATGATGATGATTCTGATGATGACGATGATGAGTATGCTGATGATGATGCTGATGATGATGATGATGATGATGATGATGATGATGATGATGATGATGATGATGATGATGATGATGACGATGATGATGATGATGATGATGGTGATCTGATTATGATTATGATAGTGATGATGATGGTGCGGAGGAGGAGGAGGAGGAGGAGGAGGAGGAGGAGGAGGAGCAAGAGGAGGTGGAGGAGGAGGAGGAGGCGGAGGAATAGGAGGGGGAGGAGAGGAGGGAGGAGGAGGAGGAGGAGGAGGAGGAGGAGGAGGAGGAGGAGGGAGCAATAATGGAGGAAGTAGCAGATCGGGGTCGTCTGAGTAGAGCGGGGTGGAAGTCGTGAAGACAGACTGGAGCTCTTGCTCTGCCCTGAGGAGCTCATCCTCTTGATGATCAATGGCGAGTCTTATCCGAAGGACCCGCTCATCGATGCCCTCTGGCAATCCCCTCGCTCCCTCTCCCTTCATGCCCCTCTGACCATGTTCTCCTCCCAGCCTCTGTTCCCCCTTTTACTCCACTCCTCCCTTCCTCTTGTCGCCTGAGGAGTCGGAGGAGTAGGAGGAGGAGGAGGAGGAGGAGGAGGAGGAGGAGGAGAGATCCTGGCCGCCCAAGTGGCCAGAGCCAGATTTTTTTTCGTCCTGGCATCCGTGCGATCCTCCGACCCCATCAATTCTGGCTCCATTTGACAGGGAGGGGGGTCTGGCGCAGATCCAAGACATCCGCGCGGAGGTCCGGACAACTTACATCTATCGAAGACGCCTACGGCGAATCACCGCCGCCCCCTGCCTTTGTGGAAGCGCCTATGTGGCCGAACGTTGAGGCCAGAGCTTTGCCAAGCTATCGGGCCAGTTGTTCCCCGAATCGGTTTGGAAAGCCTTCGGGGAACACGTGGGCATCTTGAAGGTCATCTTGGCCGCCTGGAGGCCATTTTGACCCTTTCGGGCCTTCTTGGAGGACGTCTTGGAGGGCTCGTGGGCCGTCTTGGAGGCCATCTTGAGCGTCTTGGAGGCCTTGGGCCGTCTTGGGGGCCTCTTGGGGCCATCTTGGGCCTTGGGCGATCCTTGGGCGATCCTTGGGCGATCTTTGGGTGCATCTTGGAGCCATCTTACCTGTCTTGGAGGCCATTTTGGCCGTCTTGAAGGCATCTTGGAGGCCATCTTGGGCCATCTTGGCCGTCTTGGAGGCCATCTTGGGCGTCTTGGACGCCTCTTGGGCCGTCTTGAGGCCCTCTTGGGGCCTTCTTGGGGGCCTCTTGGGCCGTCATGGGGCCATCTTGGAGGCCTCTTGGGTGCTGTTGGGGCGATGTTGGGGACCTCTTGGGCCGTCTTGGGCCGTCGGAGAGCTGAAAAGAAGAACATGCCAAAATCCTTGAAAAACCTAAGGAAAATCAATGATTTTAACCTATTCGGGCCTTCCTGGAGGGCGTCTTGGAGGGCTCTTGGGCCGTCTTGGAGGCCTTTTGCGGGCCTTTTGGGCCGTCTTAGACCATCTTGAGGCCATCTTGGGCCGTCTTGGGTGCATCTTGGAGCCATCTTACCCGTCTTGGAGGCCATTTTGGCCGTCTTGGAGGCATCTTGGAGGCCATCTTGGGCCATCTTGGCCGTCTTGGAGGCCATCTTGGGCGTCTTGGAGGCCTCTTGGGCCGTCTTGAGGCCCTCTTGGGGCCTTCTTGGGGGCCTCTTGGGCCGTCATGGGGCCATCTTGGAGGCCTCTTGGGTGCTGTTGGGGCGATGTTGGGGACCTCATGGGCCGTCTGGGGCCGTCGGAGAGCTGAAAAGAAGAACATGCCAAAATCCTTCAAAAACCTAAGGAAAATCAATGATTTTAACCTATTCGGGCCTTCCTGGAGGGCGTCTTGGAGGGCTCTTGGGCCGTCTTGGAGGCCTTTTGCCGGCCTTTTGGGCCGTCTGAGACCATCTTGAGGCCATCTTGGACCGTCTTGGGTGCATCTTGGAGCCATCTTACCCGTCTTGGAGGCCATCTTGGCCGTCTTGGAGGCATCTTGGAGGCCATCTTGGGCCATCTTGGCCGTCTTGGAGGCCATCTTGGGCGTCTTGGAGGCCTCTTGGGCCGTCTTGAGGCCCTCTTGGGGCCTTCTTGGGGGCCTCTTGGGCCGTCATGGGGCCATCTTGGAGGCCTCTTGGGTGCTGTTGGGGCGATGTTGGGGACCTCTTGGGCCGTCTTGGGCCGTCGGAGAGCTGAAAAGAAGAACATGCCAAAATCCTTCAAAAACCTAAGGAAAATCAATGATTTTAACCTATTCGGGCCTTCCTGGAGGGCGTCTTGGAGGGCTCTTGGGCCGTCTTGGAGGCCTTTTGCGGGCCTTTTGGGCCGTCGTAGACCATCTTGAGGCCATCTTGGGCCGTCTTGGGTGCATCTTGGAGCCATCTTACCCGTCTTGGAGGCCATCTTGGCCGTCTTGGAAGCATCTTGGAGGCCATCTTGGGCCATCTTGGCCGTCTTGGAGGCCATCTTGGGCCAAGTTGGGGCAACAAAGGCATTGACAGGCGGATTTTCGGAAACTTGCGGGTGGCCGGCGGGACGGGCCGAAGCCCACTGGGGAGTTCTTTTAGAAAAAGAACCAAAACTAAAACCTGACTCGTCCAGCACGCCGTGCACCCCTGTGGCAAGACCACAGGGGGCGGCGGAGAAGCCGTCGGAAGCCGTTTGGGGGGCCTCTATGGGCCGACTTGGGGCCTGCTTGGAATGCTCCAGGGCCGTCTTGGAGGCCATCTTGGGCGTCTTGGAGGCCATCTTGGGCGTGTTGGAGGCCTCTTGGGCCCTCTTGGGGCCCTCTAGGGGCCATCTTGGAGGCCACTTGGGCCATCATGGGGCTCTCTTGGGGGCCTCTTGGGCGATCTTGGGGGCTTCTTGGGCCGTCTTGAGCCGTCGGAGAGCCGAAAAGGCGCAAATGCCAAAATCCTTCAAAAACCAAGGGAAAATCAATGATTTTGGCCTCTTCGGACTCTCCTGGAGGACCTCTTGAGGGGCTCTTGGGCTGTGTTGGAGGCCTCTTTGGGGCCTCTTGGGCCATCTTGAGGCTATCTTAGGCCGTCTTGGGTACATCTTGGGCCGTCTTGGAGGCATCTAAAGGCCATCTTAGCCGTCTTGGAGACCATCTTGGCCATCTTGGAGGCATCTTGGAGGCCAGTTCGAGCCATCTTGGAGGATTTTTTCCGGTCGTTGAGCACGTTTGGGGGCCTTCCGGGTGGCCGGCGGGTTCTGCCGGAGCCCACTGGGGAGTTCTTTTGGAAAAAGAACCAAAACCAAAACCTGAAACATCCAGCACGCCGTGCACCCCTGCAAGCAGGGGGCGGCGGATCCAGCTGCCTACGGCAAGTCCCGCCACCATGCTTGGGTTGTATGTATGAAACCTGTTGGATGTTCGTTGGGACCTCTTGGGAGGCCTCTCGGGGTCCTCTTGGAGGCGGCTTTGAAGCCCCTTGGGGGCTGCTTTGGGGCCTCTTGGGGCCTCTTTTTGGCCTCTTGGGGGCCTCTTGGGGCCTCTTGGGGGCCTCTTGGGGAGATCTTGGGCGCCTCTTGGGTCCTCTTGGGGGCCTCTTCGGGCGGAAGGCTCGGATTTTCCGTTCGTGCTCCCTCTCTTGGGCCCCTCTTGGGGCCGTCTTGGGGCCCTCTTGGGCCGTCTTGGGGCGCTCTCAGGCGTTGTTGGGGCCTTCCTGGAGGCCTTTGGGGCTGTTTGGGGTGGTGTTGGGGGCCTCTGGGAGCGTTGGAAAGCTGCAAAGGCGGGAACGCCAAAGTCTTTCAAACGTCAAAGGGAAATCAATGATTATTGCCTCTTGGGCCCCCCTTGGGGGGCCTCTTGGATGCCTCTTGGGGCGTCTTGGAGGTCATCTTGAGGCCATCTTGGGCGTTTTCGAGCGATCGTTCGGCGACTCGGGGCCCTCTTGGACCGTCTTGGGGGCCTCCTGAGCCGTCATGTAAGCCTTGGAGAGCCCCATGGAGGCGCCATGGCCGCCCAGGGAGCTCCCAGGAGTAGAGGTGGTGCAGTCGGGTGAGCGTGACCGGGCGGGTGGGGGGCCCCTTCGAAGACTACAGAAACCCTGCCAGGCAGCCCTCGGCGGCCTTCCACGCCTCTATGTGCCGGAGGCACGGCGGCGGATGCTTTTTTCAAGGGAGGAAAAACCACCTGGACTGGACAATTCGCGTTTACTAAACGGCCCTGGGCATTTCCTAGACAGCCTGTCCTTTTTGATTCCTTCTTTGGGTGCGTTTGCTAAACGGCTTCGCGTGTCGGGGTGGTTAGTATCGGGGTGGATCTTCTGCCTTCCTTTTTTGCTTCTCGGCTTTGGGCCACGCTCCAGCGGCCCCGATCGTGGGCCCCGCGGCGCTGGGCGGGCTCGGCGCGCAGCCTCTCCCAGGGGCACGAGATCCGACGAGCCGCGGGCGCGCCGCACGGAGGGGCTGCACCGATCCCGACCGGGCCCGATCCCGGGACCAGGACGGGCCCAGCCGGGCCCAGGAGGAGGAGGAGGAGGAGGAGGAGGAGGAGGAGGAGGAGGAGGGAGGAGGAGGAGGAGGAGGAGGAGGAGGAGGAGGAGGAGGAGGAGGAGGAGGAGGACGAGGAGGCGCACGTCAGCACACCTGGCACACGGATCGCGGCCTGCAAAGGGTTCCACCGTTGCATTTCCCGCACGCATCGGCGCAGGGGCGCACGGCTGGCGCCCTCGCAGGAGGGGAGGGGGCCTCGCGGCCGCGGCCCGCCTCGAGCGCCCGCCTCGCGCGCGGCCCGAGGGGTGCCCCAGGGCCGAGGGCCGAGGCGGGTCGCCCGGCTCTCGCCCCGAGCCTCACGAGGGTCGGGGGCGGCAAAGAGGTGGGTGATGACCAGGGGAGGGTGGATCTCGTGGCGGGGGCCATGATATTTCTCCAGGTAAAAAAGGCGCCTCTTCTTAGTTCATTGCGTCCCTGGCCTCCCCGCAGGGCCGCGCACATGCCGCCGGTCATGATTTGCACCCCCCCCCTCTTGGACACCCCCCTCTTGGCCGCTCCCGAGAGGGGGGGTCGGCGGGAGTGGCCTACGACCGCTTGCGAGCCCCACAGTCAACCCGCACAGAAAGGATGGGCAACCTTCCCACGGGCACACTTGCATCCTGGCCCCTTCGACCCATCCTCAGCGACTCTCGCTGGCCAACCTCCTTCGAGCAACGTTCACATGGCCCTCCAAGGCCCTCGCATCCTTACCGCGCATCCTAGGATACGGGTCGACTGTACCCCTGCTGTAGGGTTCGCGTCGTGTAGACCGGCGGTGACCCCGCCGCCGGCGTTCCACCTTGAACGTCGCCGGTGACCCGGAATGGGTCGATGCTGAACGATCGGACGTTTCGGAAGTGGCCGAGCGTTCATGGTTGAACGATCCCCTCTGTGTCAGGAACCAATGCGGAAGTCGGCACGACAGGAACCTGCCGTGCGGGTCCAATCGGCGGTGTGGTGCCGAGCATCCCTGCTGGGGTTCACATGGCTGCGGGCATCCTTCAGCTCCTGGACCCCAGCCGGTTTTCCTGAAATCTGACCTGCAGGGGTAAGGTTCACACGTGATTGCCTAAGGGGGGGAGGAGGATGAGAACAACTGGGAAGAAAACGCTGGCAGGGATGGGAGAGGAGGATCTGCTTGGTGGGCCCAGTTGGAATCTCGTGCGACCTTGTTCAGCATTCTGTCGCCTCCAGCTTCTGATGACCATCATCCGCTTCGTTTGCACGACCAACGATCATCGCGTGAAGAAGCTGCTCACGATATATTGGGAGATTGTCGACAAGTGCAAGGAGGATGGCGACCTGAAAGAGGAGGATCCTCTTTCCTGAGCCTGGGTCGCTTTGTTTTGCCATCGCGGTGATTGAGAGCCTAGCGGTTGGCAGTGTCCTGTCATGTGCCCTGCCAGAGCATCGTCGTCGTCGTCGTCGTCGTCGTCAGCGTCGTCGTCGCCCTCACCTGCCCCTGGCGGAGTCCAGTGCAGGATGCGCTCGCAGGCTGGCAGGAAGAATGGCGCCAGGCTGGCCTTGTGGGAACCGTTTGGATAATCAGCTTGGTTTCCTGACTTTGCTGGGGGGAGGAGATGCATTCCTCTTCCATCACCTCGGATCTCCTGGTGGGTCAGAGGGAGGACGAGGCGGATGGTGGAGGGGAGTGGGGATGTCGCAGAGGGATGAATGAGGGTGTGGATGATGATGATGATGCTGCTGCTGATGACGATGATGATGATAATGATGCTGCTGCTGATGACGATGATGATGCTGCTGCTGCTGATGACGATGATGATGCTGCTGCTGATGATGATGATGATGATGATGATGATGCTGATGATAATGATGATGATGCTGCTGCTGATGATGATGATGATGATGACGATGATGATGATGATGCTGCTGCTGATGATGATGAGGAGGAGGAGGAGGAGGCGGACAAGGATTACGAATTAAACACGAGAGGTAATGAAGCATTATTCCTTGTGGACGAGTGTATCGTCAGACAGAGCATCTGACGGTTCCACCCTGTAGCGCCCCAGTATCCTGGGAAGAGGGGACATTGCATTGGTGCCTAGGCGCTTGCAATAGTTGATCTGGCCTATGCGATCTGTCCAGAACGTTCAGGGTCAATATCGAAGGCGGATACGTCGGCATAAACATAGATTTTCGGAGAGCCGTGCTGGTTTCTTGGATCTGTGCTGGGCCTCCCTCCCTGGCGCGCGGAGCGCGCCAGTGGCGGCGCTGGAGGCACCATGAGGAGAACCCAGCGCCGATCCGAGAAATTCGGATAGATCTCCAATAACTTGTGTTTCTGCAGTTCCGTTGTCTTCTTCACTCGTCTTCGTCTTCTTCCTTTTCTTCTTCTTCTTCTTAGCTTTCATCGTCTTATATAGGTCTTCTGTGTATACTTCCAGTAGTCTATTATATATGATTAGTCTTATTCGTTTTAGTGTCACGAGTGTGATGTGCATCATGCGTAGCCGCTTTCTTCGTCTATTTATTACGACGGCTATTATTATTGATACTATTCGTCACCATGTTATTCCTCTTCTCCGTTGTAGGGTCCTTCCTCCTCTTCTTCTTCTTCTTCCTCTCCTCGTATTCCTCCTCTTCTCTTTTTCTTATTATGCATATTCTTACCATTATGATTATCCCTTTTCCTGTCACTCATATTCTAAGTAATGTAAATCATATTATCGTTCTTCTTCTTCTGTTTCCTCATCGTCTTCGCTTTGTCTTCTTCTTATTCTTCTCATCCTCTTCTTCTTCTTCTTTTTCTACTCCTCTTCTTCCTCTTCATTTTCTTTTTCTTCCTCTTCCTCTTCCTCTTCTGCTTCTCCTTCAGTCCATCCCCTCCGAGCGGCGGCGGCGCTCCCTGGCTGCAGCGAGGGTCGCGCCCCTCGGGCACGAGGTCCACAGGGGGCTCCCAGCCGTCCCGCCGCGCGGCGGCCCGCCCACCGGGGATCGCGCATTCCTCCCCCCCCCCTCTCCCTGCCTCCTCCTCCTCCTCCTCCTCCTCCCTCCTCCTCCTTCTCCTTCTCCCTCCTCCTCCCCCTCCGCCTCCTCCCTGCCTCCTCCGTGCCTCGTCCTCCTCCTCCTTCTCCTCCTCCTCCTCCTCCTCCTCCTCCTACTCCTCCCTGCCTCCATTCCTTTTCCTTGTGAATAACTTCTCCCTGTCGCACCCCTAGGCCAGTTTGTAGTGCGGTCCGGGCGTTCGCCTGAGACTTCCTCACCAGTTTCATGGATGGACTCCTCGCGCCGCTGAAAATCACGACGGGAGTTTTTCGCTAGTTTCGGCCTCCGGGGGCCCTTGCTGGGCCCAAGGACCTGCAAACAACGACTGGACGAAAAACTGGTCCTGGGGAAGAGGTCCAGACCTCGATGGGTCGACGTTGTGGAAAACCACTACGTCGGGGGTCTGGGTCCTCCTCCGTTCTCTTTTCTCTTCCCTGCTCCTTCTCCTCCTCCTCCTCCTCCTCCTCCTCCTCCTCCTCCTCTCCTCCCCTGGGGGCTCGGGGTTAGGCGGCTGCCTGAATGCATTGGTGGGCTACACATAGGGCGAGGAGGACCCAGTAGGTTTGGGCGCTACAGGTGTGTGTGTGTGTGTGTGTGTGTGCGTGCGTGCGTGCGTGCGTGCGTGCGTGCGTGCGTGCGTGTGTGTGTGTGTGTGTGTGTGCGTGTGTGGGTAAGGGTTGGAGGTGCTGCCCCGAAGACGTGGAGAGCGTGGGGAGCGTGCCGCTGCGTCATGTGTACAAGTTAGTGAAACGCATTTTGCGGACGTCGCAAACTAAACCGCTGACCAGCCCTAGAGTTTTCGCGTGCCAGGTGACATGGCCACTGGGAAGCGTTTCGACTCTGATGCGCCGTAGGTGCAGATTTTTGTGTGGACGTACCACTGAGAAGGACGACGATTGTGATGGGAAGGGTAATGACGATGATAATCACCAATCCGATTCTGCTGATGCCGATGATAATGATGCTGCTGCTGATGATGATGCTGATGATAATGATGATGGTGATGCTGATGGTGATGATGATGACGATGATGATGCTGATGATGATACTGTTGATGCTGCTGATGATGATGCTGATGACGATGATTATGATGCTGCTTATGCTGATGATGATGCTGATGCTGGTGATGCTGGGGATGACGACGACGATGACGATGACGATGATGCCGCTGATGATGACGATGCTGATGATGCTGATGATGATGGTGATGATGCTGATGCTGCTGATGACGATGCTGAGACTGCTGCTGCTGATGATGATGCTGATGAGGATGATGATGAGGATGAGGACGAGTATGAAGATGATGCTAATGATGATGGTGGTGGTGGTGATGGTGGTGGTGGTGATGATGATGATGATGATGATGATGATGATGATGAGGATGCGGAAGAGGAGGAGGAGGAGGCGGTGGAGGAGACTAAGGATGAACATGGAGGAGGATGAGGAGGATGAGGATGAGGAGGAGGAGGACGAAGATGATGCTACCATGTATGGTGACGATGGTAATGATGGGTGGTGGCGGTCTTGGTGGTGGTTGTGAGGGGGAGGAGGTGACGCGGTTGGCTTGTGCCCCCACGGCCTTGTCTAAGAGGAGGAGGAGGAGGAGCAGTAGGAGGAGGAGGAGGAGGAGGAGGAGGAGGAGGAGGAGGAAGACGAGGAGACGTAACAGCACTACCAGGAGTCTGGCCTACGCACTTGGCAACGTGCGGCTCGACAACGAAAGGAACAATGGGGACGAGACGCGGGGTGCGCGTGGCTCTGCTCACAGCCCTGCATTCAGCGGCTGCGGTGGTCCTTCCCCTTCACGGGTTGCCCGCCTGCTGTCCCCAGCAGTTAGTTCGGCACTCCACGCCGACCTGTTGGGAAGACTCCGCTTTGCTTCGTCTGGCTGTGCCCTTTTGCGGCCTTCCGCCAGGGGGTCCGTTTCTCTGCTGGCGGGACGTTGGCTGACCGTATTCGGACCACCCGAGCTCGATCCACCGTCACAAATCGCAGCGCCCAGGTTACGATGAAGGCCATCGACACCATGATTCTACGAAGCCTTGAGCCTCGGCAGCCTGCTCTTGAATGGCAGTGTGAAATGTCCCTTTCAATTGCCATGGAGGAGGCCCACAGTCGAGAGGTGAAGCTGCTCCAGCGTGACGAACATTTCGGCCTCCGTCTCCAGTGCACAGCCATTCCCATCTGGACCAGACATCCTGCAGTACGCCCTGCCCCTCGGGGTCCCCGTGCACCGCGTAGCCGCAGCCAAGGAAGCTCTGCAAGAAGAACACGCCACGGCACCACACGTGCAAAGCGAGCCGACTCCCAGGGATACGACCTCGTCCTTCACCTGGTCGTCGGACTCTTGGGCCTCCGAATCGTTCACGATCTCATCCTCAGCATGGTCGTCACACACGTGGGCATATAAGTCCTTCACGAGCTCCTGGTCCACGACCACCCACGGCACCGCATCCAGGCCTGGGGAGACTTCCGCGGTGCAGATCTCGATACTGAGGTCGAGCCCCCAGTTGCTCTCCAGCACGGGCCGCCTCGGGCCAAGGCGCGGCTCGCGCGTCGCCGCTCGCAGCTGACGCTCGCTGGCGAGCAGAGCATCAAGCCCAGACGCTTCATGCTGCAATGCAACGTCCATGCGCAGCTCGTCCTTGGGCACTGAGTGAAGGCCCTGCAGGATCGCGGCATGGGCAGGAGCCGACGCCCGTAGCCGCTGGACCAGCTCCTTGTGCCTCATTGCCCTCAGGATCGCTTCGTGCCTCGCGCGCAACTTGGCAAGTGCCGACCCCAGCTCCGCTGCCTCAGCTCTGGCCGCTGCAAGGCCGAGGTCGATTGCGTCGCGCGCCCGCCGCCGCGTCGCCGTGCGCTCCGCCCTGCAGCGTCGCTGCTTCTGCTGCTGCACCTGGGAGTCGCAGCTCTGCGAGTCCGCCCGCGCCTTTCTCAAACTCCACTGCAGAAAACCTCCAGCCACGCCAGCCCCAAACATACATGTCTGCTAGCTCGTTTGAGGAATACGGGTTTCGCCCGCTTGAGCCGAAATGGCTACGGAGGAGGAGGAGGCGGAGGAGGAGGACAATCAACACACTGTTTGGGGAAATGATCCCACCCCACCTCCTCGCAGCCCTTGGGCCGTGGAGCACCCGAGACCCTCCCTTCAGAGTCCACGTCGATCCGATTCGATATCGGTCCGGCTGGCTCGATCTGATTCGATTCCGATGTCCCGATGATCCGATGTGGCCCGATGTTCGCGTGGTGCCGCTGTGCATCCGGGCGCGGCCGATCCTGTTCGCTTCCGGCTCCGTGCCGATGCGGCCCGATCCAGCGCACGTGCCGATCCGCTCCGAGTTCCCGATTCGATGCTGGCTGATCCCTTCCCCGAGACCTCCGCGTACCCCGAGACGCAGCCACCCCCCCTCGGCCCGCCTCCGCCCGCTCCATCGTGCAGCGGGAGCGCCCCCACCCTGCCTGCGGGCCCGCGGGGTTCCTCCCAGTGCCCAGACGGAGACGGCGACTGCGCGGCCCCGCTGTCCTGGGCGGCCGAGAGCTGCACCATGGGCCGCCCGGACGGGGGCGGAGCCGATGCGGCCCGGAGGACGGGGAGGAGCGCGCCGCACCGCGGATGCATCCGCGATGCGCCTGGATTCGCCTCGAAATCTCGGTGAGAACGCAGCCCATGAGAGTCTCGTGGGGGAGTCGCGGCATGGGTCCCTTTTTGCCCCCCCGCGCCCCCCCTCCCCCCTCCCGCCCCCCCCCCCTCCTCCCCCAGATCCAGAGCCCGACTTTCCATCCCGACGTCGCTTGTGCATCGCCGATGCGGCGGGATGCTCAGGCCCTATTAGCTCTCTGGTCCCACCTGGGAGGCCTCCGCGCGCCTCCTGCCGGTGTCCCGTGCCTCCCCGCCCGCCGCCCCGCTCTCGAGATGATCCTCGTGTGCAACGCGCTCCGCTGTGACCTGATGCACGCGAACGAGTACATCCGTGGATCGACCCTGCGCCTCCTTTGCAAGGCGGCGCCAGCCTCCAGAGGAGGGCCGAGGAGAGAGGGAGGGAGGGAGGGAGGGAGAGGAGGGAGGGAGGGAGGGAGGAGGAGGGAGGGAGGGAGGGAGGAGGGGAGGGAGGGAGGGAGGAGGGAGGAGGAGGAGGGAGGAGGAGGAGGAGGAGGAGGAGGAGGAGGAGTTTGGAGGGAGGAGTTTGGAGGGAGGAGTTTGGAGGGAGGAGGGATCAGGAAGGAGAATGAGTAGGAGTAGGATAAGAAGGAGTAGGCGCAACAGGTATCCGGCAGGAGGAGTAGGAGTGGGAGCAGGGAGGAGCCGACGCCGCCGCAGCTCGGCTTGGTGAGCCCGAGGGATCCCTCCCGGCTCGGCGTGGGCGTGGCCAGGGTGATTCCAAGAAGACACCCCAAGCCCGCACATCCCTGGAAGATCACGACGACCACGACCGTGATGATAGCGAGGAGTGCGAATAAGCAGGGGTGACGAGGATGGGGGAGGATGAGGCGGGGGAGGAGGAGGAGGAGGAGGAGGAGGAGGAGGAGGAGGAGGAGGAGGAGGAGGAGGAGGAGGGAGGAGGAGGAGGAGGAGGCGGCTGCTGCTGCTGCTGCTGTGATGATGATGATGATGATGCTGATGCTGATGATGCTGATGATGCGATGATGATGATGATGATGATGATGATGATGATGATGATGATGAGGAGGAGGAGGAGGAGGAGGAGGAGGAGGAGAAGGAGGAGGAGGTGGAGGAGCAGGAGCAGGAGCAGGAGGAGGAGGAGGAAGAGGAGCAGCAGGAGCAGGAGCAGGAGCAGGAGGAGGAGGAGGAGGAGGAGGAGGAGGAGGAGGAGGAGGAGGAGGAGGAGGGGGAGGAGCAGCAGGAGCAGGAGGAGGAGGAGGTGGAGGAGGGGGAGGAGGAGGAGGGAAGCGGACGAGGCCGCAGTGTGGCGGGCGATGGCAGCAGCTGGGTGCATCGACTCGTCGAGACGGCGACGCCGCCAGATGAGCCATGCTCAGCGGGCGGGCCCGACCGGCGCCGACATCTCGCGCGCGAGCCGCCCGTGCCGAGGTTTCCGACAAGATTCTCAGCCCAGGCGTTTTCTTTTCTTTTTGTTCGTGGTGCGCTTTCGGCCCTCGGGGCCCTTGTCGGGCCCTGGGGCCATGAAACATGGATCCGGGATAGAAAGCTGCCCCTGGGGAAGGGTTCGCAACCTGTGTGCCCGCGGGTCGGAACGACCCTTGGGAAACCGTAAGACTCTACGTAGGTTCTGGAACTCAGGGTTTGCTGCCGTTTTTTGGACGGTCCCAGCGTGAGTTTTGGCGGACCAGTCCTGAGGTGTTTGCAAGAGTAGCCCGCGCCAACCTTCAGAGCAGGTCCCGCCATTTTCTGATGGCCCTAATCAGGCCAACTCGAGTCCCCAAACTCTAAGTTTTACGTCTTCCCGACTTCGTTTCTGCGCGGCGCGCTGCGGAAGCGGCCTGCGCAAGGCATCGAGTGAGGCCTCGACGCCACCGCGCGTACAGCTGGCACGATGGATGAGAGCAGCCTTAGCTCTGGAGGGATTCCGCCACAAAGGTATACACACAGACACCCTCTAATGGATTGTTCCTGGGACTCAGGGGAGGGTGGCGGTGTCTAAATCACCACGGAGAGCCAGCGACTTTACACGCCTCCGCCCTCCTGCGGGTACATGCAAAACTGGTCGGACGGTGTCTGTGTCTGTGTAAGTAAATATATACTCATATATGTAAATGTATATGTATATGTATGTATGCATATATATATATATATGTGTATCTATAGATTCGTGGCGTAAGGGGTACCCTCAGGTTCTTCGTGTTTGGGCGACTTTTCACTTTGGAGTGCTCTTCGTCTGGGGCATCTCCGTGGCGACTCGGGTCTTCGTCGAAGGGGCTCGTGCTCGCGACCTGCGCTCTCGTGGCCACCTTGAAGGCATCGAGGAAGTCCTCGACGCCGTTGTGCGTAAGGCCCCCCTCGCTCTGCCGCCAGATGAAGATCTACAAGATCCTCGAACCGCTGAAGGAGGCGGTCCTTCGCAACCTCTCCCACCGGCACTCGTACGTGCGGCGCAACGCGGCGAGCCTGGGGGGAGAAGGGGGGGAGGGAGGGAGGAGGGAGTGCGGGGGGGAGGGGGGAGGGGGGAGGGGCAAGCTAGGTGCGCTCGCGTCATACCTGACGTCCTACCCATCCCTCCCATACCTTACCAGGGCGTAGATCTCCTCTCTATTCGCACAATCGGATGTCGTAGCCTAGCATAGCATTACATGGCATAGCATGGTGTCGAAGATCAACGCGTAGCATGACATAGCAAGGCGTGGCAACGCCTCAAGGTTTGGGGGGGCTTCTGCAGCCCGAATTGACGAATCGACACCGCATGTGTAATCACTTCCGATGGTTTCTTCGGGAGGCCGTTTTCTAGATTTTGGTCCTTATTTGGAAGGACCGAAAACCATGACTGGGCATGGCACTCGAAATCATGACGCCAGCGCTTCAGCGGGAGCACTATTCGGAACGAGCGGAAGCGGGGAAATGAGGCCGGCGCTGCAGCGGGAGCACTGCAGCGGGAGCACGATTCGGAACCAGCGGCAGCCCGAAGATGAGGCCAGCGTTTCAGCGAGAGCAGCATTCTTGAAAAAAACAAGCGCGGAAGCGCGGAACTGAGGACGCGTAGCCTGACATAGCATAGCGTGGCGACGCCCCAAAGTGGGGGGAGGGGGCTTCCGCGGTCCAAAGCAACAACGAATCGGCACCGAATGTGTAATCACTTCCGATGGTTCATTCGAGGGGGCATTTTCTAGATTTGGAGCCTATTTGGAAGGACCGACAACCATGCCGGGGCATGGCACTCACAATAATGACGCCAGCGCTTCAGCGGGAGCACAATTCGGAACGAGCGGAAGCGCGGAAATGAGGCCAGCGCTGCAGCGGGAACACGATGCGGAACCAGCGGCAGCCCGAAAATGAGGCCAGCGTTTCAGCGAGAGCAGCATTTTGAAAAAAACAAGCGCGGAAGCGCGGAACTGAGGACGCGTAGCCTGACATAGCATAGCGTGGCGACGCCCCAAAGTGGGGGGCTTCCGCGGTCCAAAGCAACAATAGGGGGCCACATGCGAACCCTACCCCTACCCCCCACGATTTCTGAGGGGGAGGCTGGAATTCACTTGGCTCGGGCGCTCCCGAGCGAAGTGAACCCCACCCTCCCCCTCAGAACTCTTGGGGGGTAGGGGTAGGGTTCGCATGTGGCCCCCTAAAGAACGAATCGACATCGAATGTGTAATCACTTCCGATGGTTTATTCGAGGGGGCATTTTCTAGATTTTGGAGCCTACTTGGAAGGACCGACAACCATGCCTGGGCATGGCACTCGAACTAATGACGCCAGCGCTTCAGCGGGAGCACAATTCGGAACGAGCGGAAGCGCGGAAATGAGGCCAGCGCTGCAGCGGGAACACGATGCGGAACCAGCGGCAGCCCGAAAATGAGGCCAGCGTTTCAGCGAGAGCAGCATTCAGAAAAAAACAAGCGCGGAAGCGCGGAACTGAGGACGCGTAGCCTGACATAGCATAGCGTGGCGACGCCCCAAAGTGGGGGGAGGGGGCTTCCGCGGTCCAAAGCAACAATAGGGGGCCACATGCGAACCCTACCTCTACCCCTCACGATTTCTGAGGGGGAGGGTGGAATTTACTTGGCTCGGGCGCTCCCGAGCGAAGTGAACCCCACCCTCCCCCTCAGAACTCTTGGGGGGTAGGGGTAGGGTTCGCATGTGGCCCCCTAAAGAACGAATCGACATCGAATGTGTAATCACTTCCGATGGTTTATTCGAGGGGTCATTTTCTAGATTTTGGAGCCTATTTGGAAGGACCGAACACCATGCCGGGGCATGGCACTCGAAATAATGACGCCAGCGCTTCAGCGGGAGCACAATTCGGAACGAGCGGAAGCGGGGAAATGAGGCCAGCGCTGCAGCGGGAGCACGATTCGGAACCAGCGGCAGCCCGAAGATGAGGCCAGCGTTTCAGCGAGAGCTGCATTTTGAAAAAAACAAGCGCGGAAGCGCGGAACTGAGGACGCGTAGCCTGACATAGCATAGCGTGGCGACGCCCCAAAGTGGGGGGAGGGGGCTTCCGCGGTCCAAAGCAACAACGAATCGACACCGAATGTGTAATCACTTCCGATGGTTCATTCGAGGGGGCATTTTCTAGATTTTGGAGCCTATTTGGAAGGACCGAAAACCATGCCGGGGCATGGCACTCGAAATAATGACGCCAGCGCTTCAGCGGGAGCACAATTCGGAACGAGCGGAAGCGGGGAAATGAGGCCAGCGCTGCAGCGGGAGCACGATTCGGAACCAGCGGCAGCCCGAAGATGAGGCCAGCGTTTCAGCGAGAGCAGCATTTTGAAAAAAACAAGCGCGGAAGCGCGGAACTGAGGACGCGTAGCCTGACATAGCATAGCGTGGCGACGCCCCAAAGTGGGGGGAGGGGGCTTCCGCGGTCCAAAGCAACAACGAATCGACACCGAATGTGTAATCACTTCCGATGGTTCATTCGAGGGGGCATTTTCTAGATTTTGGAGCCTATTTGGAAGGACCGACAACCATGCCGGGGCATGGCACTCGAAATAATGACGCCAGCGCTTCAGCGGGAGCACAATTCGGAACGAGCGGAAGCGGGGAAATGAGGTCAGCGCTGCAGCGGGGAACCAGCGGTAGCCCGAAAATGAGGCCAGCGTTTCAGTTAGAGCAGCATTTGAACAAAATCTCAGCGCCGAAGCGCGGAAATGAGGACGCGTAGCCTGACATAGCATGGCGTGGCGACGCCCCAAAGTTGGGGGGACCTTCACCGAATGTGTAATGACTTTCGATGGTTTATTCGTGGGGGCATTTCTTAGATTTTGGATGACGCCAGCTCTTCAGCGGGAGCACAATTCGGAACGAGCGGAAGCGGGGAAATGAGGCCAGCGCTGCAGCGGGAGCACGATTCGGAACCAGCGGCAGCCCGAAGATGAGGCCAGCGTTTCAGCGAGAGCAGCATTTCGAAAAGGAACCCAAGGCGAAAATCCAGCTCCCGGGAATCCTGTGTGTAAAAAACAAATACGCGGGGGGGGGGCTGGACATTCCCCAGACGCCACCAGGGGAGAGAGGAGAGTAGCATTCATATTTTGTAATTGTGGAGGGGGGGCGGGGGGCAGGTTGAGGAGGAGGAGGATTAAGGGTTTCCTAGGATTTTCTACAAAGTCTCGAGGCGGAGGAGGACGATGAGGAGGAGGAGGAAACGCAGAACGAGGAGGAAGAGGAGACGGGGGCAGGGGGACCGGCCCCCCCACCCAAGCTCTCGGCTGGCAATTAAATTCGTCCTTACCCGTCTCGTCCTTCCCCTCCTCCTCCTCCTCCTCCTCCTCCTTTTCATCACCATCATCATCATCATCATCATCATCATCATCATCATCAGCATCATCATCATCATCGTCGTCGTCGTCGTCATCGTCATCGTCATCGTCATCGTCATCGTCATCGTCATCGTCATCATCATCATCATTACCACCATCATCATCATCATCATCATCATCATCATCAGCATTGTCCTCATCATCAGCCTGATCATCACCACCACCATCACCATCACCATCACCATCACCGTCACCATCTTCATCATCATGATCAGCATCAGTATCATCATCACCATCAGGAAACCTCATTATCATTTCATCTTCCCCCGATAATCAGCGGTGGCCGCAGCGAGGGAATCTTCATTTCCCAGCATTGTTGGGGTCCCACTCCGCCAAACATTATTTCCCATTTTGTTTTCCAATGTTCCTCTGAGGTTACCGACTGGAGCACGAACATTAACACAGGACGATTGTGATAGGAGGGGTGGTGAGAGCGAGGAGTGAAGCGGAGGGAGGGAGGGAGTATGGATCATGGAGGAGGAAGGGAGAGTGGTACGCTCCGGATTACCCTGTATGTATGTATTTATGTATGTATGCATGCAGGTCGGTAGGTAGGTAAGTCGGTAGGTAGGTAGGTCTGGCTGCATGTATGTCTGCCTGTCTGTCCGTCTGTCTGTATGTATGTATGCACGCGTGCATACACGAGCGTCGCACATCTGCTCAGGGCTCGGCGGGCCGCGACGCCAAGTTGCTCACGGCACCATCGGGCTGCGCCATGTCGACGCCTCTGCCTCCCTGCGCTTGCGCGAGGCCCCTGGCGCGCTGAAGCTGGTTCCCCTCGTGGGGACGCGCCGTTGCGCGTGGTCAGCTGCAACCCGCTCACGTCGTGCAGGCGCCTTTGCGCCGAGGAGATCAGCCAGGTACTGGAGCGCCACGACGTGATGGCACTGCAGGGCACGCAGGTGAAGTGGCGTGGCGGCGGGGACGTCTCGAAGCAGACCTTGCCGAACCACGACGCGCTCCACTGCGGATGGGAGTGGGGCGGGCGCACCAACGAGGCGTGCGATGTCTCGGTCTTTTTCAAGAAGGGGACCAAGGTGCTGAAGTCGCTGTCGCCGCCACCAGGTTTGCGGGGGCGCGGCGGCGGCGCCCGCCTGTGGCGGGGCGCACTGGTCATCCTGGTGCTGGCCCTCTACGACGTGCTGGGCATGGTCAAGCACGAGGCGGGGGTCTTCTCGCCGCCCTCTGAGGTTGGCGGGCTGGCCGAGCCCGCGCTGATGCACGAGTCGGGCACGGCGTGGGAGCAGCTCCGCAAGGAGTGGGGGCTCGCCACGGTCAACGCCGTCCTCGAGGGCTCTGCCTTCTCGTGGCCAGCCATGGTCGCGCTGCCCCGCGAGCTCATGCCGAGCGTCGAGGACCGCAAGCCGCTCTACACGATCGGCGACAGGATGCGAGCCAGTCGAGCCCGCGGCAGGAGGGACCGCGCCAAGCTGTGGGTGCTGTGGGGCATGGACGCGTGCATGCTGGCACTGAGGCGGCTCCTGGGCAAGCCGGAGTTCTTGACGGAGCTGGAGTACAGGTGCGAGAACATGGTTCGTCTTCCTTTTGATGAGGAGCAGGGTTCCGACGAGGCCTGGGACGTGCTGGAGGAGGTAATGCGCGAAGCGGGCCTGGCGCATTGCGGCCTCGAGGATGAGCTCGAGGAGACGGGGGGCCGCCCTGGCGCGCATGGTGCCCTCGCACGACCTCCAGTTCGGCGACCTCGTGTCGGCTTGCTACGTCGCGGTAAAAGTTCCTCTCGGCAGCGACATGATCAAGAACGTGGAGGGCGCGGGCAAGGCCTACAGCAACATGTGGCGCGGCAAGTGCCCCGCGCAGCACGGCCTGGGCCCGCCGTTGTGGAGGCGGCGGGGCGCTCCCTGGCCAACGCGAGGGACATGGCGGGCTCCGACTTCGAGGGGCCAGTGGAGGCGTCCCACGTTCGGGTCTGCGAGCGGGACTTCTTCAAGTACTTCAAGTTCAAGGACATGTACGGCGAGAATCACAAGCGCGTGTGCGTGGCGATCGGGATGGCCGAGGTCGCGGCCACGTTCAAGAAGACGTTCAAGATCGGCGGCGTGGAGCCCCTGGGCACCGCGCCGACAGGCGGGCTCTATCGGAGTCGTCAGGAGTGGCTGGGGCCAGCGATGATGGACGTGACCCTCTGGCTGGTGGACGGGCGCGGCGGGCGGGCCACTGAGGAGCGGCCCGCGCCCGCGCCTGCGGAGGCGCGCCGTCGGGGCGCCTCGCCCCCGCCCGCCCTTCGGCTGGGGCGCTCGCTCGGCCGCGGGGCTGGGCCGGCGGCGGTAGGCGGGGCGACGCTGGGCGCGAGCGCCGGCTCCTCTCGCGAGCGTGCCGCCGAGAGCTGAGCGGGGTTTCGGCCGTTCCTCTCGGCGGGAGGTTTCGACGAGACAGCGGCGCCTTGCACTGGCGCCCATGTTGCGCTAATAATAATGCATGCACGCATGCATGCATGTATGTATGTATGCATGCATGCATGCGTGCATGTGTATATGCAGGTGTGCATATATGTATGTATGTCGGTGTTTATGTATGCGTGCATATATGCAGGCATTCATGTATGTGTGCACGTACATCCGTAATCATGTATGTCTGCAAACATGCATGCATGCATGTCTGTATGTATGGAGGTATGTATGTATGCATGCATGCCTGCATGTATGTATGTATGTATGTATTTGTATGCGTGCATCGGTGCATGTATGTATGCATGCATGTACGTATGCATGCATAAATGCATGTTTGCATACACGCGTGCATTAATGTGCGCATGCATGCATGTCCGCATGTAAGCATGATGCACGTTTATATGTATGCACGTATGCATACACCTATGTATGTATGTGTGCATGCGTGTATGTATGCATACATGCATGTATGTATGCATCCATGTATTTATGTATGACTGTATGTATAGGTGTGTATTCATATATGTATGTATGTGTGTATGTATACATGCATCTATGTATGCGTGTATGTATGCATGTATGTGCATATGTGTGATTGCAGTGATGTGTATATATACATATATGTATTTATGTGTGCACGTATGTCTGCATGCATGTATGTATGCAGTCATGTATGTATGTATGTACGTATGTGGTGTATGTAACTATGTACGTCTGTAACTCTGCATGCATGTATGTATGCATGCATGCATGTATGTAGGTGTGTATACACACACCTATATATATGTATGTATATATATGTATAATATAAAAAACGTGTATATGTGTATGCATGTACGCTTGTATGCACAAACGGACGTATGCTTTTGATCGAGGACGTGTTTGCGCCGAACTCTAGAACACTGTAGGGGGACACAAATAGTGGACACTCCCTTGCTCCCCCAAACTCAAAGTTGGCACACGCGGGGGAGACTGCGGTCGAAGTGGAAATCATCATACATACCGCCAACTTTGAACATTGGGGGGAGGGGGAGGCGTTGACCGATGAACGTGGCATGCGTGTTCGCTATTTTTCCGAGGCCTGTATTGAGCCTCTGCATCGACATTTGGTGGCCCTCTGCGGCCAGGAAACAAACCGTCGTGAATTCGGCTTAGGGCCTAGATGCGCTTATAATGGCTAGCGCGCACTCGTCAAGCAGGTACCGAGGGTCGACCGTGGCCGTACGGCACGAGGAGGAGGAAGAGGAGGAGAACGAGGAGGAGGAGGAGGAGGAAGAGGAGGAGGGAGGCGCGAACTTCCATTCGTGGTCATGCGGGACGCAGGTCAGCGGCGTGCGCGCGGGAGCCTCCCGGGCGACGCCCAGGTGATGTGCGTTTACGCCATCATAAAGACCTTCGGCGTGGAGGTGATGCCCGAGGCTGCGGAGGACCCCCCCCCCTCGGGACCGCACCGCCGCGGCGAGGCGACGCCAGCTGGGCGTTTTGGGTGGAGCGCCCTCTCAGGGGGGCGCGATATCGGGCAACGGGAGCCACGGTAAGCACAGTCAACCCGCACAGTAAGGCTGGGCAACCTTCCCCAGGGTACCCTTGCATCCTCACCTCCTCGGTCCATCCTTGACCTCTTTCGTTGGCCGCGCCCCGCTCGGAAAGCTTCGACGTGGCTTTTTGGCCGACGGTCCCGTCCGCGGTCAGGCGGTCGCTGCAGTTTTTTTGCTCTGCTGGAGCGCGCGCCCGGCCTCTCGCAGTTTGTGCCAGTCCGTCCGTCGGAGGGAACTTGCAACGGGACTTGAAGGTGGCGCTCGGAGCAGCTGGGCGATCGTATGACCGAGTGGGTTATTATTCCGCTTGGTCGAGTCGTGCTCTCTCTCTCTCTCTCTTTCTCTCTCTCTCTCTCTATCTCTCCATCCTGTCTCAATCCTCTTGTCTCGAGGATCCTGTCGGTCCTCTCGCAATCCTCCCACAGTCCTCTCCATCTCTCAGTCCCTGCTCTTCCTCGCCCTTTTGCCTCGTAGGCCCTCCTGCACTGCGGCTTCCGCTCTACTCTCCCCTCTTCTGATCCTTGGCTGCTGTTGCCGGTTCTTCCTCAGACTCCTCGCTGTTGTTGACCCCACCCTTCAGGACATCGAGCAGCTGCTGTTAGTTGAAGGTGACCTCTCGACCAAGCGCAACGCCTTCTTGATGCTGCTGAACTGCGACCAGGCTCGCCCCTGTGCGCTGCCTGTCCAGGGTGGGAAAACACCCCGATCGCAGGCTTAGAGGTTGACACCAACGCCAAGATCGGCGGTGTGCCTCCACCGAGGGAGGACGATCCCGATCTCGGTGATGGTGGTGATATTCTGGCTTCCAAGGCGACCGAACTATTACCACCAGCGCCGAACTCTAGGATCACTTTCCCCTTCGTGGAGGCAATCCCCTCCCCCGTGCTGGTGCTGGTGCCAATCTCCAGGCCTCCAGCCCGATCCCCGTGCCTGGCGCCTCTCTGACGGTCCTGCTGGCGCGCACCGGGCGGGCGGCCCTGCCCTGCTCGGCCCCGCCCTCGGGTGCACTTTTTTCTCCCCGAGAGGCCTCGCCTGCACAGGGGTGCTCCTCGCGAGGCGGGTCCTCCCGCCCTCCCCCCTCTTTTCGGGGGAGCGCAAGACCCGGGTTTGCCAGGACTCGGGTTCGCCATCGTTTTTTGACGACCGCGCCTCGGATTTTGACGAGGAGGAGTTTCGTGGGATGTCTGCAGCGGGAGGCCTCGTCAAAATGCAGGCTCGGCCTCGTCATTTTTTTGACGACCTCGTCGGGCCAACCCGAGTCCCCCGTACCCGGGTCTTACGTCTCCCCGATCTTTGGGAGGAGCCGGAGAGGCCAGGCGGGGAGGGACGAGGCACTGCGCGCCACGGCAGGCGCAGGTTCCGAGGAGGGACCTTCTGTGGGGGCGTGGGTGGCGTGGCCCTCCGCCGCCGGCTCCCGGGGGCCGGTCCCGGGCG